GCGCTGATTAGAAGTCCTTTTGTCGGCGCGTCCCTCCGCGGGGCCCTTCAGGGGGGCCCATCGAAGGGCCCTTCGAAGACCCTTCGACCTAATCACTGCCGACGTGAGTCGCTGTCATTAGCACCTGGAAAGGCGAAGAAAGCCCCTCGCGAACCGCCGGAGCAGCTTTTCAGCTCCGTTTTGTAACTTTGGAAATCTCGGCATGCGGCGAGGAGAGGAATCCTTGCAAAATGAATGGACTAGCTGATCATTTACTTTATCGAAGAGAAAAAAAAATAGAAACTTCCGGTTGATTCCGCCACGGTCCAAAGTATCGCGAATTCAAGGGCCTCCCCCTTTCCTATTAAACTGCACCAAAGAGGGGCAAAAAAAGCGCGTATTAACATTCACATTCACATTGGCGCTCGTCTTCCGGGGAAGCGTGCGCGCGTACAGGGCGGTGGGTGGAAAAAATGGCAACGGTGGCGCTGTAGTGGGGGGACCGGGGACTGCAAACTGGGCATCGAATCGGGTTTTATTACACTTCTTGCCGGATATTTATTTATATAAGTTGATGTTTTTTTGTGTGTTTTTAGGGGTACCCAAGCTGTGCTGCCGGGTTGGGGACCCTCGTTTTGCAGCGGCCTGTACTGTACTCGTGTGCTGTCATGGGGCGCTAGCTCGCACGCAGTAGGTCACGGAGCGGGTCACTTTTCTCGTCTCCGCAAAGCACGCGCAACAGAACGAATTCCTTGCCGTGAAGGTGAGTGTAGGCACAGTACACCCGCTCGCGCAAACAAACGAGCGAGTCGAGTGTACCGCCGCCACCACCCATCCTCGCTTTTATATCGTTATTAACATAAAGCAGCCCTCTAAGCATGCTTAGCAGAGCGGGGAGCCTATTGAATCGGACGTCCCTCCCCGTCAACACCGTCAACCCCTCCGAGGTGAGCTTTTCCCCGGCTACTTATGTCGCTCGTTGTAATGCGAAGCGATACCGCCGTCGGTCGTCCCGGTTCGATTCTTCACTTCGATATAAATCGCTTGTTTTTGTTTTCGTTAGGGACTGGACGGGGCTTGGCGCGCGGAGGGGCGTATAGCACGGTCGAAAGCCCGCAGTAGTAGTCCAGGGGGCGTGCTCTCCGGGGCGTGTCTTGCCTGGAAACTGCCGCCCCGCCCCGCCCCGCCCCCCCCACCCGGCGTTGTTTTCCCCGGGAGACTCAACAAGGTTGCAAGCCACTCCTAATGGGATGACGTTGTACGTGAAACAAGCCCTTTGTGCATTGAGTGGGGCGAGGCGGGCGAGGCGCGCCCGCGAGGCCCAAGGCACCGGCGCCCCGGCGTACGTGCGGATCGGGGGGTCGGGGTCGTCGAAGAGGTCGCCGAGGGTCGCCGCCGAGGGTCGCGGGGTTCGGGGTCGTGGTCGGGGCCGCCCGCCGCCCGCGCCGTCGTGCCCTGGGCGGCCCTGGGCCAGAACACTGTTTGATGACAAGGGTTAGTTGGCAGAACGGGGTCGACGCCAACTTGTTCGCGGCTTAGTTAGGCCCAGTTGATTGGTTAATTTAATCGCCTCCACCCTGCACACAACTATCGCAGAAATTCGGAATCGAAGGCGCGAAATGCTCGCGGAGGAACTTTTTTTTACGAGGGCGTCGCTGCTAGTACGTGATTTGTGTGTGTGTGTGTGTGTGCGAGTGTGTGTGTGTGTGTGTGTGTGAGGGGGGGGGGGGGGGCTGAGGCAGGTGGGGTGAGTAACGAACCAGATCTGAGGACAATATTAGCGGACATCAAAGGCATAAACACGCGGGAGGCGGTGCGGGGCATGGAGCTCGCGGCTTCCAGGACCTCCAGGACACTCCAGGACCTTCCAGGACCCTCCAGGATGTCCCGATTGGACATGGCGTTTTCGCTTCCCATGGCGCCCCCACGCCCCTCCCGTTTCTCTCTCTCCTCTCTCTAAACCACGCCCTTGGAGGGAAGGTGTGACCCTCGTGAGGAAACGACGACGAAACCACGAATAAAAACGCCAAAATATCAAAACTTTAAAAAAAAAAATAAACAACAACAAAGTACTCGTTTGCCTGTGAGTGGCACTGCGTGCAGTTTGTCGGTTCGAGTCGTCTTGCAGTGATGCTATCTGGATTCGCCGGGGACGGATTCGCTTTTCAATGCGAATGTGGAGGTTTTACGTGACGTGCAGCGAGCCAGGCAGCCGCCAGGCCGATTCCGAGAGTCGTTTTCGTCGCTCTGTCTCTCTCACACTCACGAGGCGTGCCGTGTTGGTGCGAGAGAGGCAGAGCGGCGAGAACGACTCTCAGTGTGCAGGCAGCAGAGCACTGCGACAACAAGCGACGGGGCCGGGCCGGGCCGGGATGGGGACGACCCCGCACGACCCGACCCTCTCTGCAGCGAGATCGCCTCGCCGCCCCGCTGCATTATGTATCAGAGAATAATCTGTTTCAAATGATTATGACACCTCGCGTCCTCGGGTCCTCGTCGCGAGCGCGTGTGTGCAAGCGAAGCAGTGCAAGCGAATCCCTTGGTCCCTTCGCGCGCCTTCGCGGCACAAGGAGTGCACTCTCCCAAAAGCCGGTTCGAAACTTTTGATCTTTAAAGATTTTTGAGATATTTTTGTAGTAAATATATGAACAGTGGATCTTCGCCGATGCTAGAGGCAAGCTGGATCCAAGGTCATCTGGCTAGAAAACCAAAAATCCTACCAGACTGAAAATTTTGCTACGAAAAGAGACATGAAAGCAAAGTGTGTAAGTAGCCAAAATGGCCATCAAACTGGGAGCTTCTCTGCGGTGAATTGAATGCCGACGGCTTTTTAGCTGGCAATTTGACACCGGACCGAAACCGCACCCTCGTTTTCGATCGCCGTAGATAGTAGACTCTCGTCACAAAGGGGGATGAACCCACCGAATTTGTCTCTCTCGCACCCTTGAGAGGAACCCCACGAGTGCAACAGAGACAGAGCGGTCCGTGCACCCCTTTCGCCAGAAGCAAGCACCAGGCGGGGCTGGGCCAGTCCAAGAAGGGTCCGTCTCTCTCGCCTCGCCCTCAGGGGCCTTGCCTTCGCAGCGCTCCGCAAAGCGCTCGCCAGACCCTCTTCTTTTCCGTTTTTCCGTCCCTTGTCTTCCTTCCAGTCGTAAAGACGGCGCTGCAATGGCCGACACGGCGCCAGCAGCTTGCGCGGAGGGGGAGGGCGCCCCACACGGCAGGCACGCCCAACGTCGCTCCATCTCTCTCGCTCTCATGGGGCGTCCCCAATAGGTGCGAGAGAGACAGAGCGACGGGCTGGGCGGGGCGGAGCGAGCGCGGAGTCCTTCTTTGTAAAAATGTGTGCGCGTGAAAGCGCTGGCCCTTTGGACTCCTTTGGACTCCTTTGGACTGTTGGAGGCGGCGCGGCGCGAAGGCCCTGGGGTAACGGCAGCGGGCTCTGTCGTCTCTCTCGCTCGCGCGGGGGATGCTGCGCAGGTGCGAGAGAGACACCGGGCGGGGCGCGGCGCCAGATGCAGAAAAGGCACTCCTTGGCGACGCGCGGGAGGACCGAAGAGACCGGAGGAAGTCGGCCTCATAGGATTCCCCAATGAATCTTGAAACGTGAAGAGAAGAACAAAAGTACGGATTTGGAGGAAGGGGAGGTTAAAAGGGCTCGTGGCGAGACGAGTTGGCAGGCCGGCAGGCCCGTGTATCGCTGGCAGGCCGGGCCGGCGTGCGTGAGGAGGGCTAACCAACCGAGGCGCCCGGATCGGGCTAGATCGGGCGCACTCGTTCCGAACGGTCGTGTCGTCCCTCGTCTCCCTCGCACTCGTGGGCCTGCCCGAAGGGGTGCGAGAGAGACCTCGGAGCGACGCAACGATTCCCCAGAATCGCTCGTCTGGGGCTGGGCTGGCGGGGCTGGCGGGGCTGGCGGGGCTGGAGGGTAGACGCTGCAGCAGCCATTGTCTGGTAATCGTATTAGAGCCGTTTCAAAATGGAGCCGACGCTACACCCCGCCTCTGTTTTCCTTTCTATTTCTTTTTTTTTTCCTCCGTCGGACACTTTGCGGAGAGCCCTCCTTTTTCCCTGGATGAGGTTCTTCTCCCCGACAAGAAATCGAAATCACCGACAAGAGACGAGGCGAGGCCCCTCCCGAGTCAAGACTGCAGCGACGGCGCCCTGCAGCCGCCGGGTAGGCCACACGGCCACACCTGTGCCGAGCGTGCGGCCTAACCCGCCTCGCCGCAGGCGCTCCACTTCGACTTCTCGGTTTCGCTCCACGCTTCGTGGTGAGATACCAACACCTGATGTATTAGTGCCTTTCCGGCCCATCAAATCTACTTGAAAAACAAAGCCACCTGTAAACCACCGACAGAGCTCGTGAACACACTTTTGGGGGATTTACTTTTGACAGTGTCGTTCTGCTACTGGTCCAACCGCCTTTCGGATTTGTTTTGTTTTTGTTTTTTAAAGAGAGGGATCGCCGACGTCGCCGACGTGCGCGTGCCCGAGTGCCGGGCATCAGATAAGACGGGCTCGATGTAGCAGATGGCCGCTCTGCAGCCATCACATGCCCATTTTGCACCGATTAAAATTTCATGCCGCCTATCGGCCTCCGCACTTGGAAAGGGGTGCCGTAACTACGAGTAAATCCAAGGCGCTTTTGTAGAATTTTTCTGTATTACGAATGTAGACTGTTCGAAATTTGGCTGTGGATCCCTTATCAACGAAGGCTTCAGTAGTAAGGAGCCCCCTTACTACTGAGGGGCCACATAAGGGCTCCCTCACTGTCCGTGTTCGCTTGGACGTGCCGCACACCCGAGTGCGCTTCGCCGGATTAGAGAAGTTGTGCTCCTCTCCAGAGCGACAGAAAGCATCACGCTGCTGGAGACTCCAGCCGACTCCAGGCGCCTGCGTGGCAGCGACCTCTAGCGGCCGCGCCGGCAAGCTCCACAGTGGAGTGACTGGAGTGGCTGGAGGCACGGGGTATGGCCGGCGAGCTCGGCTGGCCCTCTTCACATTACCACGACTCCACATTATGTACAAGTGGAATTTATTCAAAAAGTGACCCACGACTCATGAAGATGCTATTTTTGTTAACATTTACAATTTTAAACAACATAATAATATCACAAAGTACACTGTAACAAAAAAAATGGAAATCAACGAGGAATCTTTGTCAATATCCCAAAAATCTTCGTGAATTTATGAGAGTTCCTTCGACAAACAGTCTTCCGAGAGGAGCCGTCGCAAATTCCGGAGATTTATTTTTACAGTGTAGGAGGAGGAACTAGGTTCAATCAAGGTCGAGCTTCTTGAAGGAGCCCTGGATGCCGAACACCTCGGAGGAGCTCTTGGACTTGCCGGGCCTCTTGGTCTCGTCTACCACCAGGCTGTCCAGCATCTTCAGGTAGTCCCTGTTGTCCTCAATGCACCGCTTCATCTCTCCTGGAAGACCACAAGAATGGAAATAAAGTTTGCAAAAAAAAGAAGATGCTGTTCTAATTTTCCAATGCATTTCGTCTCTCACCGTGCAGCTCCTTGCACGACTTGTCCTGGCCGCCGTAGTCGGAGGGCATGGCGCTGAGGGGGACGTACTTCTCGTAGAACTCGGGCATGTCGTCGACGGTGTGCACTTTGAACTGCACACAACAAATGAGTCGATTAGTTTTTTTTTTTTTTTTTTTAACGAAGGCCGCCATTCGCTTTCCGACATGCCGAGTTTCAAGTTTCAAGTTAGGGTTAGGGGTTCCAACTAGTAGCCTTGGGGTGGCTCATATCCATAACTTGGGCACGTACTATATCAAGAAGCTCCTTCTTCATGAGGGGCTTGACCAGGTTCACGATTTGCTGCACGATCGCCTGGGCGTTGATGAAGTGGATGCCGCGCAGTCTGACGGGGAGTCCTTCCTGGGGAACGGAATAAACAACAACACTGATAAAATGATCACACATATGTTAATTGCGAGAGCGGCTTGGCTATCCATCCAGCCGGCCGTGTACCCGAACCTCTGCGTCACAGTGTTAGACAGACAGAAAAATACACCATGATCGCAGACCCGGTCCAGTGTTTGGGAGTTATTTCGGCGGCGTGTGCGTCATCGGGGCGTCCAAGACGATAAAAATTCAAGAAAATCACACGTACACACCCCCAAAAAATAAGGCTAAAAACAGACCAAAAAACACATCAAGTGTTTTTTTTCGTTTATAAAGTTGCTTAGGACAGAGGGGTGTCGCCGCCGCGAGCTAGCACGCAGGCTGACGCAGGCATCCGGGCTTGAACTCGGGGACGGAAGGGCCTAAGGATCTTGTCCGACAGGTCCACGAAGGCCAAGCCAACCAAGGGCGACGACATTAAGCAGGAATCGAGCGTACCTGCACGAAGACCAGCAGTTGCTTGAGGGTGGTGAGGGACACCTTCATGATGTGGGACATGGTGACGCCGGTGAAGTCCAGCAGGACGACGTAGCCGGGCACGCGGTCGTCTATCTCCATCTGCACGCAGAACGACATGAGGCCCGCGTGCACCGCGCTCGTCATCTCGAACTTGGCGGGGTCCGTGTCCTGGAACTTGATGAGCATGGGCGAGAAGCCCTCCTTGGTGTGCCCCTTGAGCGAGCACACGTACCTGCGGACAACGAGGACTTCAAACGCCTGCAGCGAAGCAAGGACTCCCAAGGACAGCGGCATTGTAAAATTAAAATTAAGAGTTTTTTGGTACATTTTTTTTCGTGTTTCCTTTTCTTTTTGGAATCCTCTACTTAGTAATCATTTGGCAATGGATCCACATCGGTGCCAGATAGCCCGCTGCCGAGGAGCTTCCCAACTCCCTGAATATGTATTCTTCCCAGCCAAGCGGCTGCTTCGGTACCTACATGATGTCGATCTGCGACTTGTAGCGGCGGTCGAGCGCCGCCCGGTTGCCGAACACTTCCGGGGCGTGGGTGGTGATGGTCATGTAGTTGTCCACGGTGGTCTTGGTGCGCTCCACGCTGCCGTAACAGCTGTGCAGCATCCTGGCCATCAGTTTGTCTGCCAGGAGAAAATGATCATTTTATTTCTCTCTGATGCAGGACCGTTTTCTGAGACACTGCTTTGATTTTTCGAACCTGGCATCGGGGGCAGGTGGGGCTGCCTCTGCAGCCAGTCGCGCAGCTGCTGCATCCCCTGGAGGTCCTCGCCAACGTCAGCGTGAGGCGCCATCTGCAAAACAAAAGTACAAAAAAATAATAATTAGCAAGTGCGTACGGAACAGACTGCCTGGCTTTGGAACCTCCGCGACGTGAGTCAGGCGTCGCGGTCCGAGCGTGTTTCGGCACAATTAGGCACCGTCAGTGCCATCGCCAGGGTCCTCTCAGAAATTGCTGTTTCTAACAACTAGTCCACTTTTGGGTTGTGTTTCCGAATCTGCGCACGGATACACGTGTGTGAGCGCGCGGGCGCTGGTTGGTGTGAGTGTGCGCTGGCGTGTGTGTGCGTATAACGTTCAGTTTGTTAAAACACAGGCCCGCACTGAGACACACACACACACCGGGCGACCTTGGCCGTAGTTTTGGGCCGTTCCGATTTCGCCTCTTGATAATGAGCCCCGGCGTCACGACACCTGCCACTCAAGCGTCCAAGTGCATTGCCATGGCATTGCCGCAGCGCGTCCGGGGACAAACTGCGCGCAAAGGTAAACCAGAAAAAAACAGGAATTAAAAACAAAGCCAAAAAACAAGGCGTTTAGTAGACGCGAGTTAGTGGCCCAGGGACATCCGCTCACTGCTGAACGAGTTCTGGCGGTTCTCGCCCAGGCGCGCACAGACCTCCACATCCCGACAACAATGCGAGCGGTACGGTACGGCACTCGAGACGGTTGCATGTCCACTGCCCTCGACGGAAATCGAGTGCACGGAACTCGTTTCCCAAGGCGCGGTTCAGATAAAATACTTTGGTGAAGGTGATGATGGCTACCGAACGCCGTGCGCGGCCGTGCCCTCCTAGACCTGGTCCAAGGTCAGGCAGCCGGAGCCGCACTGGGCCAGCGCCGGGCAGCGCCGGGCGGCGCGGCGCTGTTTGGGGACCCGGTTCCTCACACGCGTCTACGTCGCGCAGTCTCACACACCGGCAGCACGACGGCACGCGGGGGGCAGGTTTTATGCCTGCCGTTTTTATTGTGTGCGTCAATGGATGCGTAGTCGTCGTCCTCCCGCGCGAGGCTAGCTCGTCGCCACACGCCGAATATTCGCTCCTCCGGAAGGGAACCCAACACAGTCGAACCTGAGCGAACCTCACCGCACCTAACCGAACCTGACTCCGCGCGAGGCCGCCGACCGGGTGAAGATGCGATAGGAATTCGACCGGGGAAGCGCAGTTTGAGTGGACTGCGGCGCAAGACCTCTCTAATGGTGGCCGCCACGCGAGGCGCCACAGTTCCCACGGCAAATTACAGTGCGATCCGACAAACTTAACCCCTCGACCGAGACACTAATGAGGACAGCTCGGTACCACTGCCAGTCGGTGCCGACTGTACCCGCGGCGGGCGAGGGCGGGCGCAGCGCGTCAGTTCAAGGCTAATTATTATTTGTTGTCTTTGTCTGGGTGAGCATCGCCAGCACCGCCAGTATCGCCACCACACACGCGCGCGTGACGCTTTCCTTTTGCACGCGGAACTGCACGACGAGGTCGTCGTCACGGAAACCAAAACAACGAAAACGCACCCGAAGGAGTGCCGAAGGAGTGCCGAAGGCACGCAGTAAATTGACGCGAATTTTGTGAGCGGCCGTATAAAACCGCATCGCGTCTGACGGAGGGCAGGTTCAGCGAGCCGCACCCCCCGCCCCGCGCAGTGCTGGTCGGCCTGTCGACCACTTTTGTTTTCTTTGCCGTCCGTCGGGCAGGCGTGGCAGGCCTGGCAGGCTAGCCGGGGCCCTCGGCCAGCAAAAGGAAGACGAGACACTAAGAAAAACGCAGCGCCAGGCTGACGGGATCGCGGAAACCACTCTGATCCATCCACCATCCGCCAGTTGTTTCGATTAGTGATTTCAAACAAAACACTAACGCTTTGGATTAAAATTAGTTCACATTCGGCCGGCCGAAGACTTCCGGTTGTCCGATCTTCTACAAATTTGGTAGGCAGCCTCCTTGCGTGAACCTAAGAACCGCCCGGTGGCAGCAAATCAAATACGAGCCCAGTAAGCGCTGCAGCACTAGGTTGCCTAGTCAAATAAGCAACGTAAGAATTTTTATCTTTGATTGGTATTGCCCTCTATCTTACTAACTCCCCCGACTGAAATCTAAAAGAGACGAACCAAGCACAGCGCTTTTCCCTGGAGGAAGGGACGAGAACCAAGAGCGGCCGATGAAGAGACCCACGGTCAAGAGCGGGAACGGTCCTTACGTTTGCAGTGGCGGTGCACAAAGGGTCCCTGTCGTCCTGAGCAAGGCCTCGGCAATGTCCTGGGACAGTCCTGGGAGAGAGACGAGCAGCTCCTGCCTGGTGTGTCCACTGCCGAGCCGAGTCACTGACTGCCTGGACTGGCTTGGGCTGGGCGCAACTCCAGTTCAAAGCGAAGCCCAGCAGAGTCGAGCCGGGCCGGGCCGAGCCGGGCCGAGCCGAGCCGAGCCGAGCCGTGCCGGGCCGAGCCGGGCCGGCTCACCCCTTCCCCATGGAAGACGAGGAAGAGGCGAGCCCTGCCGACGCGTGTCCGCAGCGTCGGCAGAGTCCGCAGACATGCACAATCTTCGGCAAGGCCAAGCTTCGCAAAATAAACACTAAACAGTCGCAATGAAATTATCGCCCGGCCGGTGCCGGTGTTACGCCGGGGCGTTGGCCGTGGCGAAGCAAGCGAAGCAAGCGAAGCCACTCCCGCCGGAATCCCACATTACACCCAGAAATGTAGTCGTAATCGTGGGACTGCTGGCTGGGCTGGCTGGCGCCTGATTAATTTTTCAAAGCCTGAGTCCTGGTCGAGCTGGTCAAGTACGTCTGCGCGTAGGGTCACCAAAAGGTGACTCCATTTTATGCATTCATTTATTTTTTTTGTTTTTGTGTCGAAACTGCTATTCCTTATCATCGTACTCAGCCGAAAATGAAGTCAGACGGCCAGGACGAGGCCCGAAAAGGGCGGGGTGGGATGGTGCGGCGATGGCGCTATCGACATGGACGTCCTCGTCTGGCGTGGAGGTTGATACTGGCGGGCTGGGCGGCCGCAGTGCTCAGCATGCAGTCGAACAGTGTCGCGGCACGAGGGGGCGTCCACCTCGCCACGCTTACAGCGCAGTGCCTATTCCGCGCAAGTTTTTAACCGTGCGGGGAAACCGGCACCGGAACCCACACCGGAATATGGCGCTCGTCCTGGCTTTTCTCTTGCCTCTGGTGGCTGGTAAGTGGACGGTCCAAATACCCGCGTTCTCTAGTTTGGTTGTTTTGAGATTTTTTGTAGTTTTTTTTTTCTTGCCGTGCCTTTGGTTTTAGTCCTCCCGGCTGCAGCTGACTGCCCCCCGAGGACGGCGGAGCCCTGGGAGCACGAGGCCCGGCGCACGGCCATGCTGCGCACCTACAACAAGTACTCGATGCGCTGCCCCCAAGTCAGCCTGCTTATGCTGCCCTTCCGCCTGCAAGTGGTGAGCGGCCTTGTTTCGTCTCTCTCGCACCCACACACGACGCCCCATCAGTGCGAGAGAGACGGAGCGGCGTAAACGACTCTCCGAATGATGCTTCCAGGACCAGGACCTCGGCCACGCGTCCATGAAGGTCTCCATTATCTTGGTGAGTGCCCCGGCCCCCTTCCGGCCGAGCGATTTGGACGAGTCGCCGCTCTGTCTCTCTCGCACTCATGGGCCTCTGCGTAGTGTGCGAGAGAGCGAGGCAGCGACACGACAGCCACTGGATGTCCATGCCCATGTCGCAGGAGTGGACGGACCCCGCCCTGGTGCAGCCCCTGGCCGACGGCACCGCTAGCGGCAGCACCCTGCGCGTCAACGCGAGCGACATCTGGACCCCGGACATCGTGTCCTCGACGTGAGTCTCGCCGGCCCGTCCGCAAACGACTAACGGCTCTCCCGCGTACAGTTGCAGCACTTAAATCCGTCTGTATTTTATCTTTTTGAAAGAGATAAAGTTAAGGAGTCGGCGGTCTTTTCGAAAAGATAAAATAAAGGCGGATTTGAAAGCTACAGTACTCCGCGGTGGGTGAGCAGTGTGGACAACGCGAAGCTGACGCCGGACTCGGTGGCGTCGTCGCTGTGCGAAGTGGAGCCGGACACGGGGCTGGTGCGCTCCCTGTTCAGCACCACGCTGCGGGGGCTGTGCTTCTCCAGCGACGCCGCGGCCTGGCCCCGGGACACGCTGGACTGCCACTTCTGGCTGCGGCCGTCGCGCGTCGACGTCTTCAACCTCACGCAGAAGCTCAACATTCAGGAAGTGGTGAGCGCTCCGTCTCTCTTGCACTCGCGGCGCCTCTCGCAAGCGTGTGAGAGAGACAGAGCGACGTGACCGCCGGCTGCAGGTTCGGCGCGCCTGTGGGGTAGGCAACCCATCCGGCACGTCGCTCGACCTCTCTTGCAGTCGTGGGGCAAGGGCGGCAAGGGTGCGAGAGAGACAGAACGGCAGTTTGGAACCGGCCCGCAGGTGGACACACTGCAGAAACTCTCCTCGCGGCCCGTCATGGAGCGGATGGCGTCCTGGAAGGTGGTCGTGATGGACTCGGTGGTGTTCGGGCTGTCCGAGCCCGAGCACCGCCTGCTGCTGGCGCAGGTGTCGCTGCAGCGGCTGCCCGGCCAGCTGGAGGCCCTCGTGGTGCAGCCGGGCTGCGCCGTGCTGGCCTTGGTGCCGGCCAGCGCCGCGCTGCCGCCGGCCTCCAGCGGCCGCGCCGCCATGGTCGCCGTCGCCGTCCTGCTGCACGCCATGCACCTGCTCAGCCTGCCCGAGCACCTCGCCGACCTGGAGGGCGGCGCCACGCCCAGGAACGGTAAGGGCGGCGCCATGGCGGCGCGCTGTCTCGCTCGCACTCTTGGGGCGTCCCTGGTGGTCCCTGGGGGTGCGAGAGAGACAGACACCGTGCTGCGGCCGCAGTGCTGCTCTTCCGCGACGCCGGCCTGCTCATCCTGCTGGTGGTGCTGCAATGGCTCGTGTCGCTGCACCTGGCTTCTCGGCGGAGGCCCCTTCCCGGATGGCTGCGCTCCGCGTACCGCGCCCTGGCCGTGCTCCGGACCCCCCTGCTGCTGCCCGCCGTGCCGGCCTCCCCAAACTCTACCCCACCCGCGAGGCTTCAGCCTCCAGACGAGGAGGTGAGTCTAGCTTTCGGGATCGCTCAGCTGGTTTCACATTTTCTATTTTTCGAGTGGCACTGAAATTCTTCTTCTTGCTTGCAGAGCGTCGGTCTTTCCGAGGTCTCGGACCGCCTCGCGCTGCTGGCCGTCGGGGCCACGTACTTGGCCCTCGTGGTCGCCAGCCTGCCGTGACCGTGACTGTGTTGCAGTGTAAAGCTATGGTCCAGCTCAATAAAATAATACTAGAACTGCACACTTTGCTTTTGACAGTTGCCAGCAAAGCGCGCCTACATCCTACGCACGAAATTCCCTTCGGGGTTTCCGGTCCAAACTGCGATCAACGTCAAGTCTTCCCGCGCGTCGGAGAAGCGATGAAAAATCGAGCAGTCAGAAGTGTAACGGCTCGGAGATTGTCATCTGTTATTCATTTCGTTCAAACGGGCGGGAGCGTGCACCGGTTGACGTTTGACGTTCCCAGTTGAAACCTGTAAATTGTGTGTCTTGGTCTTGGAGACTGGAGATTTCGCTATTTGTTTTGAGATTATCTGTTTTCTAGCGTTGTATGCGCCGCTAGCAGTTGCAAGGTAGGCCCTTTTATGTATACATTTGGCTCACGGTTAGTTATGTTGTGCCTCTACTGTGAGTTATTTGGTTATTTTTGTTTTGCTTTTTTTCTGAGATTGTATGTTAACTAACTGCAAGGAAAGTTTATAAGCGTTGTTTCCCATTCTGCCTCTTCGTTGCTTGTCATTCCTCACATGCCTCGGGCATGATAACTTCCAGTTACACAATCCAATTTTAATCGATCAGTTTTGGTCAACAGACCATTTTAGAAACCTTTTCAATCTTCTATATTTTTCATTCATATTCATTCTTGGTCCCAAGTGATGAACTTAATTTCTACGTGTTACCTGTTTTACCAAAGCGCTTTGACCAACATCTTTCTGTGCAACAGGTTGTTCAGCGTCACAACTGTAGCTTCCTTCTTTTGCAGATGGATGACGCCATCAGTGTGGCCCTGAGGGTGCGCCCCCTCTCAGCTAGTGAGCTGAGCAGAGGGTGCCAGTCATGCATCGACTGTATACCCAATGAGCCTCAGGTGGTGATGAGAAACGCAGACAAGGCTTTTACTTTTAACTATGTGTTCAGTCCTGAGTCCAGCCAGGCTGAGGTGTATGACAATGCTGTAAAGAATTTAGTGCCCAAGTTATTCAAGGGTATGTTTCTTTGGGCTTTCCCGATTGCTTTACCCTTGGCTGTTGATCTGTTTAATCCTTAACGCGGTTCAATGTTTTCCAGGCTACAATGTGACTATCCTAGCTTATGGTCAAACGGGGTCTGGTAAGACTCACTCAATGGGAACGTGTTACAATGGTGAAGGTGAAATGGGTATCATTCCCAGAGCAGTGAGCGACATATTTGAAAAGATCGCACATTCCCATGATCAAGATTTTAAAGTATCAGCATCTTTTATGGAGGTAAATTGTCTGTTGTAACTAATGACATCATTTGAAGAATAAACAGCTTTGACAGCATTAAATATTACAGCTCTACAAAGAACAGTTATTTGACTTGATGGCATGTAGCACTAAACCAAGGGACCAATGCATTGTGGACATACGAGAAGATGCCAGAGGAATTCACATCCCAGGACTCGTTGACTTGGAAGTGAAGAGTGTTGAGGAGACATTCAAGAGTCTTATGATGGTATGGAGATACAGAAAAATTTAATCTGAGTCTGTTTGGTTGGGTCGCCTGTTTTTGCTCTACTGTTTCTCTTCCTTTTTAAGGGCTCTGCTGGCCGTGCTACTGGTGCTACAGCAATGAATGCACAGTCCTCCAGGAGCCATGCTATTTTCACACTTACCATACAAATGTGTAAGAAAAACAATGGGTCAGTGTAGTTCCCTCTTTTCCACAAATATATTTTCTTGTGTTTTTATTTTCTTAATCCACCTGGTAACAAATTTATTTTTAATTCCATCTTTAATCCATTTTATTGCAGTGGTGGTGACATGGTTTCTAAGTTTCATCTAGTAGACTTAGCTGGATCTGAGAGGTCCAAAAAGACTGGTGCCACTGGGGAGCGATTTAAAGAAGGTGTTAATATTAATAAGGGCTTGTTGGCTTTGGGGAATGTGATATCTGCTTTGGGTGATGGACAGCAGAGAGGCTATGTTTCATATCGAGACAGCAAACTTACCAGGCTCTTGCAAGGTAAGCTTATTTATGTTATTTTTTACTGTCAGCCTAATTTTTCTTCTAACTCTGAATATTAAATCCTGACTGTGTGTGTGTGTGTTTGTGCAGATTCTCTGGGTGGCAATTCCATCACCTTGATGGTGGCATGTGTCAGTCCTGCTGATTATAATTTTGAAGAAACTTTGAGTACACTTAGGTATGCCGACAGAGCTCGTCACATCAAAAACAAGCCTATAATAAACCAGGATCCGAAAGCAGCCGAAATACTCCGCCTTCAAAAAGAGGTTTCATATAGTTATTTCTGAAAATATTATGGATAATTATTTCTCTGTCACTTACTTGCTCTAAGTTTTTCCTGATTTCATTTTGCCCTTTTAGAACAATGAGCTTCGCCTTCAAATTCTGGGAAGTGGTGGTAAGATAGGCACTTGTCCCAAGGAGCATGAAGACCTAGCTGATGAGAATGACACACTCAAAGCCAAAAATCGTAAGCTTACAGAGGCTTTGAACAATGCGCTAAGTGAAACGACCAATCTTATGGAACGAGCTCTTTTGGTACGTTTTTGTATTGTAATTAATTTTGTTTAGTCCAATATATTATTGTTCAATTTTTTTTGTTTGGGTGTGTTATATACATAGTATTTTATGTTTCAAATATTACAGGCTGAATTGGCACGTGACAGAATGAACATGAAACTGAAAGAACTGAATGCTCAATGTAATATGACCATTGATCAATTTGACCAATCCAAGGAGAATTCCCCCTCAACTCGAGGAAACCTAGCTGGACTGAAAACTATCCAGTCAAAAATTGTAGAGCTACAGGTAATGTGTTTTTCTGTTTGCAATGATAGGTCTGACCTTTCAAAACCACATGCTCACATTTTCCTTCTTGTTTTTTGTTTGTTTTTCTAGGCAGAACAACAACATGGAGAGGATGAAATTAAGAAACATGAACTGTCAGAACTTTCAGCCTGCAAGGGTGGCTCTCAGGCTACTGATAGTACTGCTGTTAGTGGTAGCATGACAAGTAATTTCACTCCTCAGTCGATAGCAGAATTTGACCAGCAGGAAGAAACTCACACTCTTCAACAGGCTGAACTGAACAAAGAACTTCAGGTTCGTTTCATATTCAAACGAATGTAAGTGACTTTGAGTCTTGACCCATCCATAATCATTTGAATTATTTTTCAGGAATTGACCAGAGCCTTAGCCATTAAGGAACAACTTGCTGCTACTCTTCTTGCCAACTCAAGTGATATTTCCACATTAAACCCAGAAAACCAGGAAAATATGAAACAATTAGAAAATCAGATAGATGCTCTTCAGAAAGAACGTGATGCACTTCAACAGCAGTTAAAATCAGCTCAGTCTAACAATGCATCTGGGAAGATTGCAGAGCAACGCCGCAAACGCCTTCAAGAATTGGAAGCTCAAATGTCTTTGCTTAAGAAGAAACTTCTAGAGCAATCAAAAATTATTAAAATGAAAGAGAAGTCAGATGAAAAAGTTGTGGTCTTAAACAATGAGATCAAGTCGATGAAAGCCATGAAAGTTCGACTTATTCGTCAGATGAAAAGTGAAAGTGAACAGTTCAGAGATTGGAAATTGCAACGTGAGAAAGAGCTTAACAAACTGCGTGACCAAGACCGAAAGCGTCAGAACATTATGACACGCATGGAGAACATGCATTCTAAGCAACAGAATGTCTTAAAGAGAAAGGTTGAAGAAGCAGCAGCTATTAACAAGAGGTTGAAAGATGCATTACTATTGCAAAAACAATGCCAAGAAAAACGTCTTCATGTCAATGGGAAGCCTGAGAGAATTCAGGGATGGGTATCTCAAGAACTGGAAGTTTCTGCAAGCACAGTTGCTGCTGAGCGAGTGCGAGAAAAACTTGTGGAAGATCGTGCCATCATCTCAAAACAACTTACATCCTTAGAGGTACACCTTCTATTACATTTTTAAAAAGACTTGTTCTTTCTTGAGATAATGAATTAGTGTTACTGACTTCTTTTGTTATTTTTCAAAATTAGGAGAATTTGAAGACTGCTTTGCCCTCTGAGGTGGAAAGTATGAAACAAGAAATTAGCCGCTTAAAAGAAGACCTTGGGTTACGCAGTGCTCAAATTGCAGATATCAACCAGAAAATACTTGATTCGGATCAGGGTAAGTGTTGGTCCAGCTCGTGGGTCTAGTTTTTCTTTGCCTTATTCTTTGATAATGTTTCATGATGCATTCTCAAATGTTGACAGAAAACAAATCAAAGACTAGATGGGACTCACTTCAATCAATGGGGGATGCAAAGCATGCTTTGAAGCATCTCTTTGATCTAGCAGTTGATATTAAGAAAGATGGAGCCATGAAAGAATACACAATTGAAGATCTAGAGGTATAAAATATTTTGTTTTGCTTTTACCATCAGTGTGTGTAAATTCTTGTTAAATTAATTTGCTCTTTTTTGTTTATTTTTTCAACTTTTGCAGGAAAATTGTAAAAAATTGAATGCAGAGGTAAAAATAGTAGAGGAAAAACTCAAAGCTGCTGAACAAAACCATAGAAGTGTGGTCTTAGAACTAGAGAAAGAGAATGTTGAAAAGGTTTGTAACTTCTAATATGTATTTACTGGTATTAACTTTTCATTCTGTTATTTATTATTATCTGAACTGAGTGATATTAGGTACCTCACTTGTTGTGTACTAGTAAGCTTTTGTTCTCCTCCTAGATCGCTGTCTTGCTGAAAAAGTTACGAAAAGCAGAAGAGAATGCTTCCGTCCCTGTCGAAGGTGAATCTGAATTAAAGAAAAAATATGATTTGCTAAGAGAAGAAAATGAAAAACTTTGTAGCATTATTGATGATATTGAAAGACTGAAGGAATCTTCAGTCTCAAATGAAAAGGATGGGGATTTAGAAAGTGATAAAGAGAATGTAAGTTATAGCTGGCACAAATGTGTTGTGAAATCAAGTTCTCTGGAGTTCAGTTGATTAATTTTTCTTGGTTACAGTCTGAAGCTGACAACTTTAAATCACCTAATGTTCTAAAAAAGAGAAGAATTAAAAAGCCCCTGAATCAGACATGGGTTGAAGATTTGGAAGCTATTGATTCATCTTTTGCATCTGATGTGGAAATTGATGATTCATATAAGGACCCTGACTACCGTCAAACACCTTTATTTAAACGCCTCCAAAAGGCCAAACTACATGTAAGGAACACGAATATATTAAATTATGATTTCTTTAGTTTTATGTTGCATTTCTACTTGACTTGTTGATTGGGCATTTTTTCAGAGTAAAACATCCATATTAGATGAGTCGGTACCAAAGAAGCTAAATTTTGCCACTAACAAAAAGTCAGTGTTTGACAACAGTGCTATCAGAAAAATTTCTGGATCTGACGGCGATTTGGAGCAAAAACTTCCTGTCAAACGTACCTCTGATGGGTCCTCAACCTGCAAATGTACAGGAACATGTGGTGGAAGATGTGGTTGCCGCAAATTGGGTTCTTCTTGTAGTAACAGTTGCCGATGCTCAAAGGATCTGTGCACTAATCAAAGCAAAGTAAGTTAATATACATGTTAGAACTTGAGTCTGGTGTGAATGGTGCAATAAATGAATTCATTATGTTTTAACTTTGATAGGAAAAATCTCCAGAAAGTGATGAAAGTGAATCAGAAATTTCACACAAAAGGCCAAGGTATGTGCTAGTTAAATCATACTTATGTTCAGTTTTGGTCAAGTGAGTGGTCTGCTTCTATGAATTTTGTTTTTCTTTACAGAAATGAAACATTCACGGCCGATAATAGTTCACCACAATTGGTTAAGCCTTCTGGGTCAGGGGAAAGAAAGTATTTTCCTGAAGCTAAATTTTAATTCCATTGTCTCTATGTGATATTTTAGATCAAATTTGTTAATCCTGTTTAGCTGTGAAAAGGTTCTGATTTTATTTTGTGCTAATTCACAACTAGAATCAACATAATCTTCATCCTGTACCATACTTATTTTATCATAAATTGGCTTCCATCAATTTTTATTTTTTTATGACCAATGTTTATCTTTGATTTGTACATTGTGTATAGTATAATGCATGTACTCACTTGTACATTTTATTATTATTACCATCATCACTGTAATTAAAGCTTATTAGTAAACACTGGCTTTCATTGCATCCCTTTCTCATTGAAAAGACGACAAACATTAATTTGTCTGACAGACAAGGAGAAATGAAAAACACAAGGCGTACTCCTCAGCGACACCGTGGTCGTGGCCATTTCAAATCTACCGCTTATGCGGCTTGTCCGTGCTTGTCCGCAAAATTTGAAGTGGTGGTCACTCTTGTAGTGCGAATAATCAGTCAGGCGCCCGAGCCCGAGTGCGGAAATGGAACACACCCAGCAAGTAATAAACTGACGAACAAGAACAAGTCTAAACAAGAATAATGAATGTTTAAAGAACATCTTACGTAACAAGTGCCACTTAATCACTGACAGTGCCGAGGTAATGATACAATAATGGCCTTCCTCCGTATCCAGGCGATTGCTTTGTGTGGTACTCGATCAGTGGGTCATGACAATGCATTATGTCGCCAAATTTCGCTGTGCCCTCAGCCCACGTAAGAAGCTTTGTCCGGGTCAAGATGAATTCCCATCAGAATTCTTTATCGTGTCAATGTAATGAACAGCATAAGTCGGGCAGGGTCAGTTTGCTCTACTGTCAAAGTAGCCCTGTGGTCTGTAATGCGAGGGCAGCGTGCTAATGGTCGGACAATGGTCCATTTGTCACTGAGGTTATGGTGTTCTTCTCTAAAGAGAATGACTCCCCAATCCTTACATTTCATCTTCAAACTTGTTGAAACTTATCCCCGATTGTTTCTCTATTACGTGCTGTTCATCTTATTTTTATCAGGCTTCCCCTCCCTGATATTTGGTGTCTATTGTAACTGAAACAGCATCACACTTTTCTTCTTCACAGATGGAGGCAGGCAGTCACTCCCGAGTTATAATTCACATTGATATGGACTGCTTCTACGCCCAAGTTGAAGAGAGAAGAGATCCAGCTTTAGCAGGGCGTCCATTAGGTGTCAAACAAAAAAATATAGTTGTCACATGCAATTATGAAGCTCGAGCTGCAGGAGTTAAAAAATGCATGATGGTGGAGGATGCCATGCGTATTTGTCCTGGAATGACGCTTGTCATTGGTGAAGACTTGGCACCTTACAGACATGCCTCTGCGCAGGTAAGTTGCCCTCAGTAATGCTTTTTCCTACTGTGGACAATTGACCTTTCATTATGAAATGCCCTTGTTTGTTTTAGGTGACCTCTCTCCTCCAACAGTTCAGTCCGTTGGTAGAACGACTGGGTCTTGATGAAAACTTCATTGATGTCACTCAACTAGTTAACAAGCGAATAGATCAACATAAATTATGTCACAGTACTAGCTCAGAAGCCTCTAATGCTATGGACAGTGATGATACTGCTGAACCTAATGTTTATAATGATGACTATGGCTCTTGTTGCTGTGGTTGTCGGGCTCGTCTCATTGAAGGTTCTCGCATCGCTAAGGAAGTGCGTGAGCAAATTAGAAGTGAATTACAACTAACTTGCTGTGCTGGTGTTGCACACAACAAGTTGCTGGCAAAGTTGGTTGGTAGTACTCACAAACCAAATCAACAGACAGTAGTATTTCCTGGAGCAGCTGTGCGTGCTCTTCTTGGCAGTTTGCCAAATGTACGGTCCCTCCCTGGTGTGGGCAGTCGCACTGCTGACATTTTAAATGAGTTAGGTATAAAGAGTATTCCAGAACTGCAGGCTCACCCATTGCCAGCATTAAAGGGAGCATTAGGATGTGATGCAGCACTTCGGCTGAAAAATAATAGCTTAGGTGTTGATGATTCAGAAGTGAAACCGTCTGGCAAACCTCTATCTATTGGTATTGAAGATGGCTTCCGACGAGTAAGCATGCAAAGTGAAGTTCGTGAAAAGCTTAGCACACTGCTCACTAGACTTCTGAAGCTTGTTGAAGAAGATGGCAGGGCTCCTACAACAATCAAAGTAACTGTTCGCAAACTAGATCGAACCAAAGGCACAACTCACCGAGAAAGCCGTCAAAGTAATGTATCAAGCCTTCAACAGGACAGGCTCATGAATACTGTGATGATGTTGTTCAACAGAATAGTAGATATCAATCAACCTTTCCATCTTACTCTTCTGGGCCTTGCATTTACTAAGTTTCGGGCACGAGGCGTTGGTAGAGGATCAGTCGCCAGTTTTTTAGTGAGAGATCGAGATCTATCAGTTCAAACTTTGACCAGCTTAGAGGGTGAAGGAAGTGGTATTTGTACTCCAAGACTTCCACCACCTCTCACACCAAATGAGTCAGGCTCAGAATCTGAACCAGAATTGGAGCCCTCACCTAAGAAGAATAGAGGAGATAGTTGGCGTGGTAGGGATCTCATGTCTCCAAGTAAACTGAGAGTATCTGAAATGTGTCTAGCATCACGCTCTCCTCGGTCATCTATCGATGAGTCAATTCTTAAAGAGCTACCCCCTGATATAAGGATGGAGATATTGGAAACTTATGGGTCTGACACAAGTGAGTCTACTGATTGTTCAATGGATTGTGTCAGTGATTCTGACAGGTCTCCAAGAATCAGGAGTAGTCCTGTTCAGATACTAGATGCTAGGCCCCTTCCAAAGTTTGTGGAGAAAATGGTGGATAAGCCTTCTGAGCGACCTGCTGACAGGAACAAGGCTCCTGAGAAGACAGCGCAACCTTCATCTACAAGTGGAGGAGTCGCCTGCGGAACAACAGAGCAGTGTTCACCGAATGCTCCTTTGCCAAGAGAGTTGCCAAGTGATGTAGACCCTGCTGTCTTTCAACAACTGCCTGAAAATGTTCAAGCTGACCTCCTCCGGTCATGGCGACTTGAGAAGTGGCATCCAAGTAAGCCTAAGCAGAATTCCATTCTTCAGTACATGGTGGCCAATTCTGAATAGGAAAGATTATCAACTCTTTTTTAAAACTTTGTGCATTTTGAAGAAACCAGGACCATTTCTTTTGTGATGTATTGTTTTAATGTTTGACCTTGAATATTAATGTGTGATAAAATCGACTATTAGGTTCTGAACAGTTTTATACCTTCAATGTTTCCATATAGTTATTTTGTCTCTAATGCCTTTCATTTTTAATGCAGTGTCTTCTTAATATACTATAATTGTGTCCTATGCCCATTTTAGTTATAGGTGTTATCGGAGTCATTGAGTATTCTTGAGGTCCTACGCTATCATCATACCTTTATGTGAAAATTTATCCATTTAAACATTGGTTTCAAATTTGAAAAAGGAGCAGTTTTTAGTTTTTGTTTTTCTGCTTGGGAGGGGCAGGAAGGTTGAACTTTTGGTTTGTATTTATTACTATTGGAACAGCTATAAACCTGACCTGGTCTAATTGTCCACTTTCCATACTAATAAATTGTGTTAAGGCACCAATTTCATGAGGCTCAGATTTTCATTTTATTGTAGTTGAGCTCCCTCTTCCCAGTCCCTTGTTTCCCAATAATTCAGAGATTTTTTTTCCTCACGGCCCACTTTTAACAAAATGTGCTTGTTTTGTTTTACACAAGTGAGTTCACAAGATGCTAAGTTCTGCTAGTCTACTATCCATCCGCACATCTGTAACTTTCTGTTAACTTGAAATTTTCATGTGTTTCAACAGTACAAGGTGGTGTGAAATTTATATGCTTCAAAGCCTTTTGCATTTGTTTCTGTTGCATGCAATGTTTTCACTGGACATAATTTTTCCCACTGCCCCTGAAGGTATTAGCTGCCTGTGACAATCACCCTTGGAGCTAACCAATAGAGTTCTAATTGCAGTTAAATAATGTGCTATATTTTACTGTTTTTATAAATGTGAGGGTTGAAGATGGTTAGGTAATAATAAATACTGTAAGTAGCAATCACCAGTATCAATGTGTTAGCATATGTATATTTTTTGTAATTTATTATTACTTGAAAGTGATTGCTTTCCCACCATTAAAGTAGTAAAGTATGATTATCAATGGTGACGGTGATAATTCTTTGCATCTAAGCTTATGTCTTCTTCTTTAAAAATAAATATGCTGGTGAGGGGCTGGTAGTTGGCATAACGTGATAGCCATTACATCGAATTCTAACTTATGGTATTCCTCTCATTACATGTTATTTTAAGCAAATGTGTACTTAAGATTTCCGTGTTGATAAAGGATAATTTGCTTAAGTTGAAGCTTTAATGTCAAATTTATTTTTGATACAAACAAGCTACCCTAGTGTTGTTGTTACAGGTGTAGGCTTGCTAGCTGTAAATGGTGTTTGATGTGTGGTTGTCAATTTACAAGACATCTTTCATTTCAAAGGCCCCTGCTTATCCACTCCTAAACCAAAGCACTCTTATTTAATTTAAATAATGACAATGACACCTTGTTCCCACACTGAGATAGATTGTGTCACCTGTTTCAAAGTATCTTGGAATTTGAACACAATGTTATGTACTTACTGTATTTGGTTCTCTCTACAGTCTGCTCGTAGTCTCTTCAGTCTTGGGTTTTGTGGATTCAAGGATAAGAAATATTTGTGGTGAAGTTGACTCCAGGGCAATGTTTTGAACTACAGGAGGAAACTAAGTTAATAATTTTGCCACCCATCCTTTTTGTTTTTCTAATCTCATTTGCCGACGGTAATCATTGTTTATGTAAATATTCAGTCACCATCTTTTGCTCTCTATTGTTTCAATCTCTCTGTTTCATGGAGATGGTAGTTACAATAAATAAACCTGTATTATTATTTCTATAGTTAATTTTATAATCCTAATGTTAACCTGTGCTGTGCTATGTCTTAAGCATGTGTTGATACTGATATGTGTCAAGCCTTGTAAGCTTTGTTTCAAGACTTTTCCTCTGGATATTCTTGAGATGCCAATGAATGGAATCTGCTAAAGGCTGCTTTGCTAAGCTCTTTAATTAATTGATCACGTTGTGTGACAAACTGTCAGAAACGTGTCTGAATTGCTGCAAACAGAACTAAAGCAAACGCTTGGTGGTCTTTAATGATAATGTTGAAGATGTTCTCTTTTTCAGAAGATACTCATGGCTGCTAACTCGGCTGTTATGTATTCATACATGTTTTGTAACATTTCTTTTAATGTAATATGTCTTTGTCAGGTAACTATCTATGTCATTGAAACAGAGTAATTTTGCAGGTATATAGGATAATTCGTTAAGCAATACATGTTTGTCTTTCACCTAACACATGAAGAAATGAATCCAATATGTTAGAAAGATGTTTGTCCCCGTTTTGAATGTGAGGGGGGATAGGTTTGCATTTCATAATTACTTCTAGGATGTCTGTGTGAGCTAACAGTAAAATTTGTTACTTCCATGTGTATGAGGAGTCATTTCTCAAAGCACAGAAAACTTGACAACATTACATCCTTTGTCAGTAGCAAGCAACTGGCTTGATTTGATACGAGTGTGAATGGGATGCGCTGCATCATGTGATAAACTCCATCATCCATGTTTGTTGTACTTTTATGGACTGATACTTATTTATTTTGAAGTATGTGTGTACATGCTATGTCATATTATTTTGTACTATATAAAATATATATTTTTTTACTCGAATATGCCTTTTAATGAGTTTGACCCAATCCTCTTATCAGAAACCCTAAAAGAGGTTACGTAAAACAATAAATTTTTTTCCATCATTTGGAAATGTGCAATAAGTCATTTATTTTCCACAAATGGCGAAGGAAAGGCCGGGGCTGCGACATGCGCTCGTTTGAAAATGGGAGGGTCGCGCGCCATTCGCGAGCTGCGCGCGAGACATCTCCACTGTTTTGTTTCCTGTGGTCCTCTCTCTCTCTCTTTTCTGTCCGCCAACCTGTTAGAGTGACAAGGATAGCATCAAGGTGGTTTCGGACGTGGATGTTAGCAGTAGACACTTCACTTCGTGTCCGTGTCGTCGTCCATGTAGTGTTCTGTGTTCCAAATTTTGTTCGGTCGAGAAGCTCTCTCTGAAATAGAAGTCATGGCGAAAAATCAGAAAATTGAAGAGGGATTAGAATTAATAAAGAGCGCTGAGAAGAGGTAGGTATCATGATCTGGAACTGAACCAAACTTGAAAAGCTACTCCAACATCTGTATTGATTTTCTCATTGTGAACAAGTGTGAAATGTTCTTTATCTTGTATTCAACACTTAAATTCTTAAAACGAAAAATCTTTGGGCCGCCTGAACGCTTGACTATGCGACGGAAAAGATTATTTGTCATTCATAGAGCTGTCATTGTTGAAATGATGTCTTTGGTGTTAAGTAAGGTTAGACGTCTCTGTCATGTTGGGCGTGTTTTCATTTTTCGCACGCAGTTCTTGACAATTCTAATTGGTTTAGCTTTAGAGTCTTGAGTAGTTTCGCTTTTTGAGACATTTATTTCTCGAATTGCGCTCTCCTATTTTGAAGCGTTGGCATGTGTCTGGATTATTTCACATCACTTTTTATACCAGCATTGTTTTTTCTTTGTTTTTTGGGATTAACCACTTTTATCCTTTATTTGTTTCATATCTTCCACCACTCATCTGACAACAGCTTGAAAACATCTCTGCTAAAATGGAGACCTGATTACGATTCTGCTGCTGACGAATACAACAAAGCAGGTAATGTCTACCGTAAACACTTTTGATCTACCCCATAAAACTTAAGCTCGATCATGCAATTGTTATTTTTATTCTTTTATACAGCTACATGCTTTCGGATTGCCCGTTCCCTCCAGCAGTGTAATGAATGCCTCTTCAAAGCTGCAGAGTGCTACAAGCAAAATAGATCGTATCCTTTTGAAACAATCTTTGTTTGACCTCTACATTATTATGATGTGCATTTAAGTTATTTTTCTGAGTGTGTAATTGTCAATTCCTTAACTTAATGCTCAGATTTTTTCATGCTGCCAAGTAAGTATCTCTCTCCATCAAATTTTAGGAAAATAGTTTTGTTCTTCAAAACAAGAGCCTTAACAGGTAAGTAACTATTGGGAATGTTTTACAGGTGCTTGGAGCAGGCAATGCTTATGAGCAGGGACCTTGGGAATCTTCTTGAGGTTGCTTCATTGGCTGAGAAAGCTTGCTCCCTCTACCAGCAACATGGATCCGCGGAGTCTGGAGCTTTCGCTTTGGATAAAGCAGCCAAAATTATTGAAGAATCCCATCCTCAAGAAGCCTTGAAGTTATATCAACATGGTGCCGATGTGGCCATGGTTAGTAAAAGTATTATATTCTAACATGTTACCTTCAATAAAAATCAGTGCATTATCAAAGGCAATATACATTCACTTTATTTTTTGTAACTTTACAGACGGAAAATAATGTAAGGCAATCCGCAGAATTTGTCAACAAAGTATCCCGGACTCTTATAAAGCTTAAAATGTGAGTTATTAGTTTGCTTGGGTTGTGTTTACCAGTTTTGGATGAAGCTTGATCGACCACAATGGTACTTCACATCACTGGTTTGCTTTGTGTTGTCATCTTTTTAATGTTTTCTGTGTTTGCAGGTACGATCAAGCTGCTGATGCTTTGAGACGAGAGATTGGTTTGCACGAACAGTCCGAGCATTTACCAGCTATTGGCAGGCTTGCTGTGGCTCTTGTTTTGGTCCAGCTTGCAAGAGGTGACTATGTGGCAGCTGAAAAGGCATTTAAGGAATGGGGAAACTGCTGTGAGGCACCCGAGGTGATTGTCCTAACTTATTTTCATCTTGAGTCTCATTTTACTAATCTCAAATTATTCTTAAATTCTTATCTTTCTTGCCTTTCTACTATGCAGGTTCAGACACTGGAAATGCTGCTCCAAGGGTTTGATGAAGAGGATTCTGATACCGTGCAGCGTGCTTTGAACAGTCCATTCATTAAACACATGGACATTGAGTATGCAAGACTTGCGCGGGAACTACCCTGCCTCAACCCACAACTGTTGCTCCCAAAGCAACGGTTAGAGAAAATGCCGCTCCATCGTATGTTTCTCCCAATGCACCATCTCATACTGCCACAGCTCAAGTTGATGTGAGTTGAACAACTTGATTTTAAAGGTAACTGTTATGATGCGTCTTCCAGACCTTTCTAACTGGAGTTCTTTTACCATTGCAGTTTGATGATACCAGTGCAAACACTGGTCTTGCCCCTCCCGCTGCACCGACAGTGGGAGCTGTAACCCCTTGCAGTGAAGATGAGTATGAGGGTGGTCTTTGCTAAACCTGAATTCTCAGTTTGTTTTGACTTATAGACTGATGGCAATATTGTTATAATTCAGGGAAAACATAAAAATTTTAGTGTCTTGTTAATTTTGTTTTTGTACTGGCAGTTGAGAAAATATAGGGTAAGTTGATCTGGTTTATTGTATGCTGGTACATACTAATTATTTAATGCCTTTCATATGCTAGTTTTTAAACTTCTGAATTTACATGTAATTTTACTGAGGGTATGGGTCAATACCTCAGTGTTGTGGGTTTGCCTTGAATAGCATTAGCCTTAGTGACAAACAAGATTGACCTCCATATGGAAAACCATCTGAGAGTTACTTGTACAAGTTAGAATCCAAGGACTCTAGCACAAGCACAAGCCATACTTGCATGGGCAAACCTTTAACACTGCAGTTTCTAGACTCATGCACCTGTATTCTTGTCATAAATTTTCTTAACCTTCAATTTGCTAATTTTGTGTAGCAGAAACAGTCCAATTGTTCCTTTTTTGAGAGTGTCATGTGGTTTCTTTTGTGTATTTTTAAATGCCATCTGATTTGTGGCTTTTTCTTTAAATGCTGCCCCTTAGTGGTAATTGATGATAAATATCACCTATAACAATACCTGTGTACAACTAATTACAACTAATTGTTTTGCTATGGTTGGGGCTGTAAACTCACTTAATACTTGTATCCCTCCCTTTTGAAAACTACACTAAGGTAATTTCTGGATTTACTTACAAAACTGTACTTTTTTGTTTTATCGTCTCATTTTTGTAGTTTGTAGGACAATGTATGTAAGCTAAGGCTTTTCTGAAGTCTTTGAAAGTGTATATTTCCTTTTTCTCTCTCCATCTTCAATTGATGCTCTTTGGAAGAATTTGTTCCAAAATTTAGCTTAAATTTGTTTTATGTTTTTGTCTGGATGGATGGTTTTGATTTGGAAGATGGTGCTTACAAGCCCTCTGTGGCTTGTGTTTGTTTGAAGTTCGTGGTTGCATAGAATGTCTGTTATCTGTTTCTCACTAGGTGTTCTTTTGAAGAAAGTTGACATTGATTTTTGTTGTGCTGATTATTGTTAAGTGAATGAAGGGCTTTAATGTGTAGACTTATTCATTTTACTTGTATCTACCACCATTTCCTTTATTATGCCTGTGATAGATTTTGGTGTCGTGTTCAAGGTTGGTATCCTTTCCTATCTATAACAAACTACGGAGGTACCAGAATAGCTTCAACTTGTTTTGTATTGTTTGGCGGTATTGAGCATAAGTAGAACTCTCTTTTTGTACATACTGTAGCTATGAACATATTTTCCAATACTTCCATTGTGCTCTCATAACTGATTTAAAAGTGATGGATGTGAAGAGCAATATTACAGTAGTAAATGTTTGCCATTCAGAGCACTGTACACTTCTGATAATATGCTTCTGTTTGTCACAAAATCTTCCGAAGATCTTATATACCAAAACTTTCTACAAGACTTCGACAAAGTTTGGTGATAGAATCTTGTTAGATAAAAGCTCTTTTTTCGATAAGGCAGAAGTTCCTCTGCTTGAGTCCACTTTGTCAGCTGCTGATTAATTTATATTAGCACTGCATTCAAATTTTATATTTTTAAATTTTATTTCATCATATGGTGTATTGTCTTATCAAGTGATGTGCACAAAGTATTGTGTACATTCATATTCACAGCCTAGTACCTTTTGTTGTTATTTGAAAGATGAAATACTATAGTTTCAGTGACTTGTTGATTCTTTTATAATATACATCTATTATTTCATCTGGAGGAAGAGTAATTTTGTTATCTAGTCGTGTAGCAAATTTTGTTGGAAACTTTCTTGCACTGTGTTAAAATTTGTTAATCTTAATTCCACATTTTCAGATTTTAAGTATCATGATTGTGCACTTTGGAAAATTCTGTGTGTCTAAAGAGAAATATCCTTTTCTTTTGTGAAAAAAAAATATCAACAATATCACCTTTTGGTTAGTGCCATTACAATGTATATTAAAATAAAAATAATAACATTCGCTATTGTGGCATAAGTTGAATGCTTTGTAATATGTAGAATCATCGTTAACAATCCAATTCATCAATTGTGTAGATGTGGAGTTGGAACCCAAAATAAAAGTTCCATAAGACACGCTGCTGGCCAGGCTCTTTATTTGGACCTCATCCCAGGGAATGGTGGAAAGAGATGGTGATCAGAACACTGGAGAGATGGGTGGGGATTCTCTCAGGCCGAGTGGGCCTCTCTGCTCTTAGTTGTTGCAGTTGGCACTGAGGGAGTGAGTTTCCCCCATTCGGATTTAGGATTCACCCCTCCCGCACGTTCGAAGGGAAAAGGGAGAGGGGGCTGCTGTGCCAGGGCCGGGCTGGCTAGGGCTGCTGCGGCCGGGGAGGCCGGGGTCACCGAAATGTCAGGAGTGCGTCACCCCCATCGCCCCCAACCTCCTGAATGCGAACCAGGCCGCGCTGCCGCGCCTTCCCTTCCCTTGCAGGGGATGTTCTCTGTGACTCAACCTGCCGCAACGTCACGCAGCGCTCTGGTGCACCCCAGCCTGCGCGACGCCAGAGCTAGAGCCAACCGTGGCCCGGCCCAGCCGACTTCCATCGACGCCGCGCTGTGTACACATCAAGACGCTTTAGTGTGCAGTCGGGTACACGAGGTACAGTGAACGCAAGCTGATAGCTCAGCGGCTGCCCGGTCGGCGTGGTTTGGCCAGCTTGGCCAGGGCGGGGATCGATTTTGCCATAAGAGGGAGGGGGCGGCACCGGGGATTCCCCGAGGACCACGAGTTTCAAATCCTGCACCGCGCAAAAGAGTTGCGTCGGAGCGAGCCCCGTTCTGTTCGCCTTGCGGCGCACTCCATGACTGTGCTATGATCAACGCTCCCGACCCGTCCGCGCCTATCCCAGGCGGAATGCGAACGATTGCCGAGGCTTACGCCAGCACAGCGTGGTACTCTCTACCAAGGATCCGGGGACTTGGCCCGGGGCGCCGGGACACGAAGTCCCCGTGGTGGCCCCGAGAGGAATGCTCGACACGACTCTGTAAGTTCAACTTCTTCGTCCGGTATATATCCCACCGGTGAGCGAAGGAAGTCGCCAGCGAGAGCGAAGGCTGAGGGGCTCGTGCCCGGCGCCCAGGTGCAAACCGTGCCGACGAGGGCAGAGTTTGCCTCGGGGAAACAAAGTCTCAGGCCAGCGTGGCGGCGCCCTGCCGGGTTTCGCCGCGGTTTAAGAAAGATAAACATATTTAAACACGGCAGCGTGGGCAGACGGTGGCGCTACGCGCGTCTGCGGCGGGCCTGGGAACCAGTCAATCGCTCAGCCTGCCCGGCTTGTAGAGCATGGACTTCACCAAACTCCTGTGTTGCCCAACGCAGAAGCTAAGCCAAGCGTTGTGATGATGGCATTTATTTATTTCCATTACCATCGAAGTCGAGTCAAATTTGGAATCATCATAGTACAGGTCAGTCGTGGTAGTTTGAGTAGAGGCAGGGCATACATAACTTTTTGCCCCCCCCCCCCTCCCAGGAGTCAAGTCTGGATCCGCCCTACTTTTCTTCACTTTTGCACAGCAGCAAAATTGTTAACCAATGGAACGCGCGGCAAAATAAGATTGCATCGGCCGGGAATCGAACCCGGGCCGCCCGCGTGGCAGGCGAGCATTCTACCACTGAACCACCGATGCTTCATACAGAGGGAAGTCAGAAAATCCAAAGTGGAGGGAGTTGGCAGCGGCTGCCTGAGTGAGGAGCCAGCGAGGTCGGTGGACTCGGCGGACTCGGGGACCCGACGGCACAAGAGGGAGAGAGGGAGAGGCGAAGCGGCGGAGCCGAGGCTAGCCGAGGCCACGAGCAAGCCCGAAGGCCGAGCCGATCCCCACTCCCTCCTTATCCGCGTGTGTGTCTCTGTTGTAGAGCGCCTTTCTCCCATGTGCCGAAATAGCTCAGTTGGGAGAGCGTTAGACTGAAGATCTAAATGTCCCCGGTTCGATCCCGGGTTTCGGCATTCGTTTTTGCTCGAGCGCATTCTCAAAAGTTTTGGAATCGTTGCACGAGCGGCTTTGCTGGCTCGTTGGTGTTTGTTGTTGCGTCAAGGATGTTGATGATTTATTTTTGGAAATTTTATGAAGACGCACTGCTGACCTTTTCACTTTTCGGCGAGCTGACGACAATCTGTCTTACAATCTTGGACCAATACAGGAGGGTGGGGCGGTCATGCCCTTATAAGGACGCGGAGCGGAACCCCGAGTTCAGGTGCAGGTTCGGGGGCCCTCCTTGGCCCTTGGACCCGCCGGACCCCCGGAGGATGGATGAGTCACGTGAACTAAAAGGGCCCCCTAGGGCTGACTATACAACCTACAATACGAGCAAAAGTCGACAGCAACGCCAGAACCACGGAGCCACGCCTCGGGCAGGTGCAGCCAATGGGTGCAGCATAAAGTGGCAAGCGCTTTGTTTTCGACTTTTGCCGACTTGCGCTGACGGCTGAAGGTCTGGGTCGCGTCCGTGGACGCCGAGACGCAGATCAAGGCCATCCTCGTGCTTTTCCAGCTTAGGCACTGCCTAGGCCAGCAGAGCTAGCAGAGCGTCCAGTGCGTGATGTTCCGCCAGCCGTCCCCAAGACTGCAAAACAAGCTGCTGAACCTGCACTATTTATTGGGGTCGAGGTCGCGAGGACGAAAACACTGGAAGAACAGAAAGCCGCGAAAAGCAGTTACCTCACCTCAGTCATCATCAGGCATAATGGTAGAATCGGCAGGGATTCAACTGCTTCGCGGTGGTGGACCGAGTCGGCCGAATCAAATAAACAAAATACAACACACGGGGACCGAGAAAAAAGTGGGGGGGGGGAGCCGAGAGGAGGAGGGGAAAGTGTAAGATGTAAGGTGGGCCGAGACACCTGCGGGGAGGGGAGGGGCAATGAGTCATCCCGAAACCTGTAGCAAGAGCAGTACCTACCTGCCGCCGTCGTCCCCGTCGCATCGGCCTAAGCCGGTAAGTTGGTGCCACTGCCGCCCTGTCGCCCCGCCCTCCCCGCCCTCGTCCCACCCCGGGCACTACACTGCGACAATTTGGCGCCAGTTGGCGGGCCAATTGGATTGGAGTCGCCGTGGCGTGTCGCAGCCACTAACCTAACCTATCCTCGCGTTCGGGGAAAGGACACAACCCGCCCCGACAGTGCGCTTCCTCGAATCAGCTGCAATATCACGGAGGGAGCGGCGCGACACGAAGTTTGCCGACAGCAGAAGGGGGGGGGGGGGGTAATTTGAGGGGTGTTCTGTGGAGGGAAACTCCGACGATCCCCGATACTGTGGTTCCAATTTCCCGGGAGGCAACGAGCACCGAAGCATCGGCGAGGCGTTTGTGTGTTTGTGTGGGCTGGGGGAAAACCTTTCCGTGTTGGCGGCCGTGTTTGAATACCACTAGGCGGATTCAAAACGGTACGGGACACGCAAGAGCTCTTTCATTGATAAGGGGGGAACCCTTGCCGCCACCGCTCTGGGGGTCTCGCCGGCCGGCGGCCTCCGCGGGCGGGAGATTTCTCAAAAGCGCCTGTGTCGCCTCACGGAAGGTCTGCCCGGCACGCCACACCCGCCGCGCCCCGCCCCGCGGTACGTACGTACAACCGCGACGCGCCAGGCCGGCGCCAGTGCCACCCCCGTCGGCCACCCCCGCCAGCCGGCCCGCCTCGGAAATACACACGGTGCTCGGTCGATTACTCCATGGAGGTAAAAATACCCCGCCCGGTTGACGAAGTGCACCCCAGTGCACCCCCTGGCGACCCCCGCCTTGCAGCTGGCAGTGCGCCGCGCGGAGGGCAGGCAGGGCGCCCGGCTGGAGGGAGGGGGGCTTTCCCCATCGGGGTGGTGCGCGCTGCTCTTGAATCTGGGGCCGTCTGAGGGAAAACTGAAAACGGCATCAGGCTCATTCCGTAGTGCCGTCTCTCTCTGTCTTTCTCGCCCCCGACGGAACGGGCTATGAATGAGTGCGAGTGCGACAGCAGTTGCCGGAGTTTCCCCGGGTCGATGTTTGAATTTCCCGCGACAACAATCGAGCGCCGTGGTGCTTCCCCGCCGCGTCCAAGTCGCGCGCACCTGAGCACCTGTCCGCCAACGACGGTTCCACGAAGGAAGCCGTGCAAGTTAGCGCCCCCCGAAGAGTGTCGCTGTCTCTCTATCTCTCTCGCCCCGTCGGGGCGGGCGCGCCGGTGCGAGAGAGACAGAGTGGCGAGCGCATACGAAAGCAGCGGCGGCCGTCGCGTCCTTGTCGGCAGACAGCGAGACGTCCGCAGCGTCCAGACATTGGCCTCGATGCGGACGGCTCTTCGTGGAATGGGGTGGCAGCCGCGAAGACGAAGGGGTGGGAGTCCTGGCCCACCCCACCCCAGCCCAGACGGCCGAGACGGCGTCCAGTGTAGTGGCATTTCGCAGTAGCGCTGCATTTGATATCGCCTCCCCAGCGAATAGCCCAGCCCTAGCCCCACGCCCCACGAGGGAAAATAATTCATCAGCATTGCTCGAAGTTTTCGAGGGTGGGGGTGGGGGCTTTTCCAACCAAAGTGCAGAGTTCTGCAGACACACTGTCGGTTGCGCGGCCGAGGTGGCTGGGCTCGCCAGGTCCAGGTAACATCGTTAGGCCGGCCGGCCGGTACCCGGCGGCAGAGGGGCCTATCTGGTGGATCGAGGCACGCTCTGTCTGTCCCTGTCGCTCCCACGTCCTCCGGGCCCCGGAAACGGAGACGACGGCCCGACGGCCTCTCTCCGGACGCCCGGCTTGGCTGCTCCGGGCTCCGGGCGCGGCGAGGGGGGGGGGGGGGGGCGTTCCGGGCGGCCGGCGTCCCGACGCGTCGGATTCTCGGAACCGCGCCGTGGCGGGGTGGGGTGAGGCGTGGGGCCGCGTCGTTCGGCCAGTACAGTGGCGGCGGGGGCCTCTCGCCACCTCTCGCCGCCCCCCACCCGGCGGCGGCGCTGGGGCGGCCAATGGGAGGGCGTCGCCGTGCCTGTGCCGTCATCGCGGGCCAATAGGGGCTCGGCGCGGACGCGCGCTGATTTCAAACCAGGCGCCGGGGAAGTACGCGGGGGCGGCCCGCTTCTAGGACTCTATCAAACCCTGCGACCCGGCGGCATTTGGCGTTCCGAG